AAGAGTGTGTTGCACATCATGGAATATGACAAGTGGCAGTGTTTGAAAGTGCAAAATCTAAGATACTGTCAGAGAGGCATGGAGAAGATTAATATGAGGCCAGCTGTTCCGTATCACCCATCAAAACTAAAACCATGATCCCTATAACCACTCATATCCATCACCAGGCTTTAACCAATTCTGTACCTATATTTCACAATAAAATACATCAATTTTCAAAAGACTACTTCATGTAAGAGACAGAATCAGTAGAAGTAATTTCAACTTGACCATAAATGAAAACAGACTTCTAGTCTGGGGAGACCTGAAGACCATATTACTGTGATACAAAGGCATAAAAATCAGTACAAAGTCAAATTTCCTGGAAAGGAAGCCTTTATAACCTGGATAAACTTGTAGTTTTCCTTCTCAGAGACAGTTTCAAGGTTCTTCAAGCTTGCACAATAGTCGAGCTAAAGAGAAATACACACACAATATCATTAAGTGAGCCTTGTGAAAGTAAATAGGCTAACTCAAATCCCACCTAATCACTAGAAAGTTCAAGAACAAAATTTACAATAGAAAAAGCTATTTTGCAAGCAGACATGATGAAGCTTCGTGAACACAAAACTCTGAAATTTATCTTAACTGCAAAAAAGTTTTAAACTGAAGTTTAGAACTTGAAAAGCTTCTTTTTTAAAAAATAATTCTTTGCGATGGGCACATGAACAGCAGTTGATTTTTTTAATATGAACAAATGGATAGTCAAACAAACATAATAAAGAACAATAACCCACATAAATTCCAACATGCTATAGGTTGCATTAAAAAGGAATTTAAAACAGCTTTCCATATCAAGAAAGAAAACAAGCTATTACCTTATCTAGATTTATAATCAGATAGTTTGGATAGTTTTTCACAAGAGAGACGACTACATGTGAAGCACTGGAATAGAAGACGGACATTTTACAATTACATAGTTAGCATTAATGTAACAAAGACATTATAAATTATAAGTTTAACAATATCAAAGGGCTTTGAAGGGTTAGAGGAGGCTGTACTCAAGACAGGCAACAGGAATACACAGATATATTTTAAGATATGTCAACATTATTCTATTGATAATGCCAAGCACTGCATACTGTTAAACTAAAAAACAGGTCAAAAGTCCACGCTATAACAAAACAAAGCAGCACTGCTCACGGCCATGCATTCCCCAACCTCATAA